TCAAATCTGACAAACTCCTGGCTTATCGTTACTGTGACAGTGTGTGGACAATCATAATGAAAGGTGTCGAATTTCACGACGTTTTTTGGCCGGTGGCCCATCGGGTTGAGAAGTACGCTTTCTAGGCACTTTGTTTTTCTCGAGTCACCACTTATGCTATGAAGTTTTTTAGATTGAAAATAGTCGCCTGCGAAGCTTTACCTCATGCAACTGCATCTCTGGCAGCCGTCCTAGAAAATCATCAGTAACTTTTACGAGCTCCTTCCCCTAAGGCGTGACGATGAGATCAAGAATTAACGCATTTTCATCAACCGTTTCCTTTCTTTTTTTTCTTAGAAGCTTTTATGCGTAAACGCTTTCGCTGATTCAAAAACGAATACATATTCATTTATTTTTAGCCGTATAGTAAATGTAAGTGCTCCATTCCTCAGTTATTTCAGTGAATTTTTCTCAATTAAGATTAAATGCATTAGCGCGTGTTAACTCATAAGCTACAACTTAAAATTTAATCAAAGAGAATGATCCATCCCACCTTGGGACTAAAAAAGATTTAAAAATTGTTTGAAAATCGGTCGCGATTGTACAAAAAACTTTGCTCAATTGATCAAAAAGAGGCGTGGCGTGCTCCCGCTCATGCCACGCCCCTATACGGTAAATTTTTCTCCTCTTCCCCGCTAAGAAAACTTTTTGTTACCATCGTTGCTACCCAAAATAGCTTAACCATAAAGTGATAAAATAAGTTTAAAAAACAAATTTATACAAAAAATATAAAAAAATGAGCAAGACTCTACACATTGAAACCCCTTGGAAAAAAAAAACTTTCGTCGCGCTATCTCTCACATACAACGCAGCATACAAGATCGACACCAGGGGCTCGCTGTCCTCGAAGTTGTGGACGCAAACATTCACAGGTCGCGAGACGTCGAAGCCATTCCTATGATGACACAGTACAGGTTTAAATTTAGAAACAAAAATATAGTAAAATTTTATTCTGTGATATCTCTAAAAAAGATTTTTCAGGGTAAAACTGAGAAAGTTTATAAGTTCGTTGTCTTTTCTATGTAAGTGGGAAAGTAAATCTGAGGAAAAACCATACCGTTTTTGGGCAACATGACCGTAGGGCTTTACGCGGACTACATGCCGTACATGGTAAACATTGCAGTATCATGGAGCAGTCCATGAAGGATGCAAATTCTTGCAAAGAGCCTTGTGAAGGAGATTGTTTCAGATGTTGCGGCTAAATAAGGATCATTTAAGTTATTGAATGAAGGGTGGAGTAATTTGAAAAAAAGCTTACATGCTTTGTGCAGAGGAACACGAAGACTGCAGCGATGATTAAGCAATACACAATGATAGCCAATAGAACA